CCCTGCAAGAATAGATGCATTTTTAAGCATGTAAATTGAAGGGGAGAGAACTTCATGCTTTCTGATCACCTCCAAGATGAAACTCTGGTTTTTTGAATCTCTAGGAAAACAGACTGAATATGGCACAATTAATTTTTCAGCACGTCTAGGCTTTTTCTCTAAAGTAAGTTAATGGGCTTTTAATTTATTGCAGCTCCTGATTGGTAGGGTTAGACAGGGTTGCTCTTCACCTCCCCCTCCCCCCGGGGCCAAGGTGCTCTCTGGGGCCCTCCTGATGAGGAAGAAGACAACAAAGTCCTGTTGGGCCTTAGGAGGTGGGGGGGCAGAGGGAGGGCTGAGCCCCCTGGTGGCTGAATTCCAGGCCCCACCATGGTGGAGAGCATCGCAGCACCCCTCAGAGTGGAGGCAGGGACTCATCTTCTTCGGAATTAGCTGGGGCGTCTGGTTGAAATGCAGATTCCTGGGATCTGAATCTCCCGACTGGAGTTGGGGGGCGGGAGTATGCATTTCCAGCTGCTGCCCCGGGTTGCACACTCAGGTTTGCAGAGCAAGGCCTTGGTGATCAATACAGCCGCAGTGTAAATAAGTGAGCTGAGGTTGGGAGCCTGTGATGTGTTGCCAGACTTTTGAATTTATTTTTATTTAAGAAATTTTATTTTTGAGACATGCACATCATTTTGATGTACTTAGTTCTTTCTTTAGTTTGTTTGTTGGTTTGTTTGTTTATTTAGAGAGTGCGTGAGCCGGGGTGGGGAAGAGAGAGAGGGAGAGAGAAAAATCCCAAGCAGGCTCCCTATGTGGGGCTCAAAGTCACGAATCCATGAGATCAAGACCTGAGCCAAAATCAAGAGACCGACCCTTAATGGGCTCAGCCACCCCAGCGCCCCAGTGCATTTGCTTTTCATTGACTCACAAGTTCATTTTTTGGTTCCCTGTTTTGTTTTTTTTTTTTTTAATATTTTTATTTATTTCTAGGAGAGAGAGAGCGAGACAGTGAGAGCAGGGGAGGGTCAGAGAGAGAGGGAGACACAGACTCCGAAACAGGCTCCAGGCTCTGAGCTGGCAGTCAGCACAGAGCCCGACGCGGGGCTCGAACCCACGAACCGCGAGATCATGACCTAAGCGAAAGTCGGACGCTCAACCGACTAAGCCACCCAGGTGCCCCATTTTGGCTCCCTGTTTCTAAGTAGGAAATCGTTTTCTTTTGGTCTAAATAATACACATTTTTCTGAATGTCCTTATAGAGAAATGATGAACTTCTCTTTGTCTGAAAAGATCTTTATTTTATCCTCTTTTTTGAAAGAAAAATTTTTTTTCTGGATATATAATTTTAGGCAGTTTTTGCCTCTGGGCGGTTTTGTGGGTAATTTATTTAGATATCTGTCTTCTCATCTGTTGTTGTTGTTGTTAATTTTTACTTTTTTAAAATTCAGTGGCTATACTTTTTAATTTTTAGAGTTCAGAGTTTTGGTTAGAGTTACAGAGCTTGTCTCATTTATGTGTATGTTGATGAATGTACTCTACTGTGTATGCACGTAGATAGTATGGCCTTCATAGTATATAGCCTATAAATACGTATAAAAGGCACAGGATATATTGATTACATAGTATTTAGATTCAAGTTATAGAGCTCATATTTTATAGAATGTAAAGGTATATGTAAGTATTATATATGTAGGAATTACAGTGTATGTGTATGTATATCGTATGTATTTGACAGTATACGTACTGCAAACACTTGTTATTTATATAGTATTTTGGTTAGAGTTACAGAGCTTGGTGGAGATGAAATTCAGTTCTGCGTCTGTTGGACTCTGAAAACATACCCAACCAAAAACAAAAAAATTCCACAAACCGTCGTGGTGGATGGTTTTTATTCTCACATGTGCCTGGTAACTTCAGTGGTGTGGGACATCAAGCTTCTCGGAGCATGAAGGAAGAGGAAAAAGCTAGAGGAACGCCTCTACCAGCCCCCCATGCTGTTTTTGAGGGGTGACTTGTCTCCTCCTCCCCACCTCTAAGCCTCTGAATACAGTATGCTGGTTTTGTGGAAAGCCTTTTCCACCCCTCCTTCCTGTTGTTGCTACAACTTGTTCAAGTTAATTCCTCTAGAAATCCTTCATCTACCCAGATGCCTACCTACTGTGTTGTTTTGCGTTCACTTGTACAGCTTCTCTATGCTTCTCAGTTTCTCTAGAATCACCCGACATGGTGTGGCCTCAGCAGTCATTTGGTATAGAGGTTGCACGTTCCTTCCTTGTCTCCTTTCTTCCCTTCACTTGTCTTCCCTCTTTCTCTCTCTCTCTCTCTCTCTCTTCATCTCTCTCTCCTTCCTCTTTCATTTTCTTTCTCTCTTTCTCTTTTTCTCCTTTTTCCTTTGTTTCTCTTTCTCTTTCTCGCTTTCTCTTCTTTCTCCTTCTTCCTTCTTTCTCTTTCTTTTTTCTTCTTTCCTTTTCTCTCTCTCACTGTTGAAAGATTAGCTACTATCTTTGACAAATGATGAGATTTCACAAGATAGTAATCTGGATTACTGCCTTTGTTGGTACAAGTGAAAGCTCTTGGAGCCCTGGGCTTATGTTTCAGTGTGGCAGTAGCTGGCTTTGGCATCACCGGCTGCCCCCTTGAGCTGAAAAACTGCTCGTCTTCCCGTTTGCCACCTTCCGCGTAGCTCCCTGTACCTTACACACCTGGCCTGTTTTGCTCACTTGCCTCATCTTCCTGGTCCTTGTGGGGAGCAGCAGCTTTCCCTGTGTGAGGCAGGAAGCTCAGGGTCAGAAGGGCTCAGTATCCTCTACAAGACCTTGCAGCAAGCTTGAGTCAGAAGAGCGTCTAATCCAAGGCAGGTGCTCAAAATGTTTGTGTTAATGTTTTGGCTGGAAAATACCGAGTTCTTATGAACGCACACTTCACTGAGTCCAGCGCCTGCTCCGGTGTGATGTTGGGCAAATTACTAACACACTGCCTCAGTTTCCTTATCTGTAGATTAAGCTTATAGCATTGTCCACCAGGAACTTTGTTGTAAGACTAGAAGTAGATGAAATAGTTGTTGTAAGATACTTAAAACAATATCCACACAGTGAGTTTTCAGTCAATAGCAGTTACATTTTTGTAGGATGCTGAAGAATGACTTCTTTCGATTATTGATTCGTTTGTTGATCTGGAAAGTCTGTATTGAGTAACTTCTATGAGCCACCCATTTTTCTGAAGTTTTGCAGCAGAGTGATAAATAAAACAGACATGTTCCCTTATCATTGGAGCTCCTATTCAGGTTGGGAAGACAAGTAAAGGCATGAGAAGAAAGTATCTGGAATTACGAGAAGCTCTGGAGAAAGCCCATGGGATGCTGTTGCTGGGAGTCGCTGGGGATCTAGCCTATGTAGGTAGGCAGGACGACCTTCTTGAAGTGGCCTTTGCCCCAAAGACCCAGTGAGGAGAAAGAGCCATTTGTGTGTGCAGAGGGCTCATGGCCTTCCATTCAGCCTGGAAAAGCGAGGGCTCCAGTCCTGAGATGGAAGAACACAGCTTGCCTGAAGTGGAGGGAAGGCCCCTGTACCTGTGTTGTAGCTGAAGATTGGGTTGGTGGTTGGTGGTGACAGAGAAGTAGGAAGTGACCAATTTGCAGGGCCCTGTAGGCCACAGAAGGATGTTTGGTTTTTATCCTAAAGATGGTAAACAACCTCAGCCTGTCTTTTTTTGATATGTGACTCCAAGTTCTGCTGATGTGCACCAAAGTTCAAGAAACACTCGTGTCATACATTTGGGCAGATCTCCCCAGTAGTTGGAGCTGTACTCTCTGGAGAGAAGGGCAAGTCTTCCATGGGCACCCAGGGGATGCTGTCAGCCACAGAGGGTGGCAGCTCGCCAGGGGAGGTCACTAGTGCCAGGCTGAGAGTTCTTATGTGCGTACGCAAAGCCCTCTGCCTGTAGTACATCTGCAGTGTTGATGGCAGATCACCGTAACAGTGATGCGTGATAAAACTCTTTTGAATCGGGAATCTTAAGGGAGAAGCTAATAGTTTAGCTTATTTAGAATAAATATACTTCATTAAAAAAAATTAAACCAAGAAAGCCAAGCAGTAGCTTAGCTACTTGAAGAGCGACAATTACTGCCCCAATCTTGCACATGAAAAAGGTGGGATCCTGAGATAGCAAATAGCTTTCTTGGTGCCACACAACCGATGATAGTATGAGGGCCAGAATTCAGCCTTCTCCACTTTGAGGCCTGCATATTACATAGAATGTTCTCTCTTGGTGGAAATACGTCCCTGAGTTTTGTTCCTTCAGCAACTCCTGAACTTTTAAAAATTATTTTGGAGGAGAACTGTGGTCCATTAGCATTTAAAGATAATTTTTAAAAAAGTGGGGGAGGGCGCTTGGGTGGCTCAGGTGGTTGAATCTCCGACTCTGGCTCATGTCGTGGTCTCACAGTTTATAGGTTTGAGCCCCATGTTGGGCTCTGTGCTGACAGCTTGGAGCTTGGAGCCTGTTTCAGATTCTTTTGTCTCCCTCTCTCTCTCTCTGCTCTTCCCCCATTCATGCTCTGCCTCTCTCTCTCAAAAATAGACAGTACAATTTTTAAAATTATTATTATTTAAATTTTCATATTTTTTCATCCTCTAGGAAAGATAGTTGCTTTATGGAAATGGTACACTTAGTTGTGTAATATTTGAGTTAAAACATCTGATTGTTACCTAAGTACTCTACAATGGGACTTGGTATTTTTGTAATGCTACAATATGTAAAGTCTTTTGCACAGAATCTGTAATAGACAACAACAGTTCAGTGTATGTGTTGAGGTGTTTGGTAAACGTATCTTTCGAAACAGTATTTCCGGTTCATATTTTACAACATCACATTTGATATATTGATATACCCTCATTTTAACGGTGTTTTCCCCTACCTCTAGATTCTATGTCTGCCTTGCTGTTTTTAAGTTTAAGGAAGTGGTGGTTTTCGAAGCTACATCTTAGTTATGTGTAAAAAATATTTTTGTATTGCAGTGTCCCAGGAGCTGTTGCTGACTATTCCCGTTTCCAGACGAAACATTTGGGCAATGGTGAGGGCTTCCACCCCTTCTCCGATTTGCTGTCGACCATGAACGGGTGGATGTGATGCTTGCTGGCAGAAAGGGTAAGTGAACTCTTAGGATTATTTGTGTGAAAATTCACAAGACAAAAAAGTGGCCGCAGGGGTCACACACAGTGCAGGAAATTGATAGAAGTCCTAAGTTCATCACAACAATTGCATACTGAGGGTGAGAGGTTCTCATTTTGAAAGAAGGGAGCAGCGCTGGTATTTTTTTCTGCTGTAACCCTCTTGAGTAACCCCTGCAGTGATCTGAGAATTTATAAAAGGCATAACAGGACACAAAATGTTGCGTGTTTTTTTTTCCCCTATTCATACTGTGAAGGGTAGGCTATCTAAATTATGAACCGTTTGCATAATTGAAAGAATAATTACTTTTTTGGTCCCATAACAACTCAGCAAAAACATGAGCCACCATGGAATAAAAGTATAATGACCTCGTCTTGGGTTTTAGAGGGAATTTAAGTCTGATTTGTTCACCAGGAAGGGCTCCTCCCAAACTTCCCACGTGATGAGGGCCCTTAAGAAAACTACTTTAGATTCTCAAAGATATTCAGAAAGGCTTATGAGCATTTTGTTCAGTCATTGTTCACCTCACCAAGATACTGAGTGTAGTTTTTAGGGGAGGTCAGGAGGGACGTGATGAGTTTTCCTCTTACCTGCTTTTCTGTATTTGGTGGCCTCCGCCATGTTCCACAACCACCAGCGGCTCTTTCAGAGGAATGAAGAAACAACTAATTGCGACCTGTCTTCATCAGAGAAGATAATTGGTTGAAGCCAGGTGTTGTGGATAAAAACTATGCCATCATACACTGGCAGCTCCGTCATAGGATGAGGTCACCTTTCTCCGGAACCGTCTCCTTTTGGCTTTCATATTTAGTGAATTAGTGATAAGAACCATTGGCGTAAACCCTATCTTGTTTGTCTTAATGTGATTGTATTTGACACAGGTTCTTTTTAATGAAGGGAGGTGCTAGTGAAGGAGAAAGAGCATTATATTGGGAACTGGGAGACCTAATAGTTACGTGACACGGGACGGGTTAATCTCTGTTGTGATTTTCCATATTTATTTACTGACTGTTATGTTTATTTATTTAGTTTTGAGAGGGGGGAGGAGCAAAGAGAAAGGGAATCCCAAGGAGGCCCCGTGCTCATTGCGTGGCCAGAAGCGAGGCTCGATTTCACAAACGTGAGATCACGACCTGAACCTAAATCAGGAGTTAGATGCTTAACTGACAGGGCTACCCAGGAGCCCTGAATTTTCTACATTTAAAATAAAGCAGTTAGGTTAGAATATCCTATTTGTCAGTAGTACCAAGGCTGTCAATTTAGTAGTACCAACATGTCAATTTAAATGCCCTCATTAAAAAATTTTTTTAATATTTATTTTTGAGAGAGAGAAAGACAGAGTATGAGTGGGGGAGGGGCAGAGAGAAAGGGAGACACAGAATCCTAAGCAGGCTCCAGGCTCCAGGCTCCAAGCTGTCCGAACAGAGCCCAGTGTGGGGCTTGAACTCACTGTGAGATCATGACTTGATCGGTGAGATCATGACATGAGTTGAAGTTGGACGCTCAACTGACTGAGCCACCCAGGTGCCCCAAAATGCCCTCATCTTATAGATGGAGTAGCTGAAGCCCTTAGAGTCCAATTGAGAAGTCTAAGTCCCTGGGCTCGGTCAGACCTGGAGCCTATTTCTTTTGTCCTCGGTGATTTTTGTCCTCAATGATTTTTTTCTTGTTTATCTCTGGTATAGAGGTTGAGACATCTAGCCAGTTGAGTAAAATTTCTCTAATAACTGTCTCCTTAGGACATTGTTTTTTTAAATTTTTTTTTTTAATGTTTTATTTCCAGGAGAGAGAGAGAGAGAGAGCGTGAGCAGGGGAGGGTCAGAGAGAGAAGGAGTCACAGACTCTGAAACAAGCTCTGAGCTGGCAGTCAGCACAGAGCCCGACGTGGGGCTCAAACCCACGAACCGCGAGATCATGACCTAAGCGAAAGTTGGACGCTTAACCGACTAAGCTACCCAGGGGCCCCTCCTTAGGACATTGTTATGCATTTAGTTACTTGGGACAGATATTAAAAGAATTTACAGTTAGAGACCAATTTGACCTCCTTTCCATTTCACAGATTAAAAAAAGCCCTTCACTACTAGTGAAGTAACCAGTGCAATTATTATTGACCAGGTGATCCTCAAAAAGCCTATGAGCTCCAAAATTCACTTCCACTTGGGCTAGTTTGCTATTGCATTCTGCTGGAGTTTCAGATAGGGGAGAAGCAGTCTTTCATGTTCCTGATGTGATTCCTTCTTTAATTTGCAAGAAATAAGGCAAACTGTAAATGGTAACACACAAGGCAAGGATGTCCACAGTGGGAAGAAATGGTTGATGGAGTCATGGAATGTAGGGTTGATAAAGATCCTCTGTCATCTTCCAGGGTGGTCTGGTGGAAGTCCTTAGATTTCTCACTGTGAAGTGCCTCTGGGAGCCTTCCACTGCTACACACGTATGATAGGCTTTGGTGGATGGTCTGTAGATTAGTGGGCAGATAGCAGGCATAGTGAAAAATTGTATCTTCGCAGATCCAGGTAGAGTTGAGACCAAAGCCTGGGTCTGTCTCATATACACATGAGAATTCATAGAAGTGGTTGGAATTCTGAAGGGATTGAAATAGTAACAAACTCCGATTTGAGACTAGCTGTCATCTCTGTTGTCAGTGTTGAGAAAGGCTGACTTAGTCTCACTGTCGTAAAATTGATGTATGAAATTAAAGAAAACCACATGAATGGGTTTATTGAAGCCTGGGTTCATTTTATTCATTAATTTCATTGGGTGAGGCCTGCTATTTGAAAAATCATTCTGAAGAACTATAATGAAAATGATCTCTCTTGTGAATTGATAAAATATCCTCATTGAATACCAGTTTTTTATAGTAGGGAAGAGCTTTGTATTTATCTGATTGTGATAAACTGCCTTCCACTATATTTTTAGTAGAAAGTAGAAGTACCTGAAATCGGATGAGCTGGAGCATATGTTCCGATTTTCTGTTCTCCTCTTCTTAGTCAAAGCACACCTCCAGAGTTTGCTCAAAAGACTGCTTCTCTTCCTCCGTGATGCAATAACCTGACTTTCCGTGCACTCTGCATCTGATAGTCCTTCCATTGCCAAAAATGTATTCACTGTCCTGTGGCTTTTAGGACGTTATAGTTTACTGAGTAACCAAAAGAAGCACCAGTTAATTGTTATTGCTGATAATTTGGAGTCTTTAGGCTTGAAATAAACTCCAGTTCTGAGTGCAGTGTTTCACGGTAAATGTCCTCATGGTAGAACAGGGTCACAGTCACAGGCATAGGCAGCCAGAACAACGAATTGCTACACTCAACATGCAAGGCGGTGACACCGTCTGAGAAAAGATTTGTACAAACAGATCATTCTGGCAAATTTTTAAGGTAACACAATGGGCAGTGTACTCATTTTATGCTGAGTGATAACCGTGACTGCGTATTAAATTACCTTAGGTGCAAAACAGAGAAAAGGAAGGGCTGAGTGTTTGAGGTCTGTCTCAGTGATGCAGTTCTTCATGCCACCATTCACCAGCAGGGAATGAGCGTTGGGCCCCTTTCCCTTGGCGTGAAACTCAAGTTGATATTGATACCTATCTGATGCATGTCATGAGACTCTGAGAGCGAAGAGCGGCTAAGTCTGCTGCATATTTAATAGGCAGTTAGCCACAGTGTTATTCATAAATGTGATAATAACAGTCTGGTTTTACATAGAGTTTTCCTGAGAAGAGTTGAGTAGAGATGGTGAATTGCTGGCTTGTTTTTCCGTCTGTGCCTTGGCATTGGCCGCTCCCTAGCAGTGAAGTGTCTTTTGCTGGAGGATCTGGTGTAAGAATGTAGCACCATGTGACATTGTTTTGTCACCAATTGTTTTTCCTTACTTGCCCACAGTTACTTCTGGGATCTCTCTCATAATGAACTTCCTAGCTTTTCACCTACTTGGATGAGGGAAGAGCATGGGAACTAATTCCTCTCACTTAAGACTTGAGAATGGGCTACGTTTTGGCTGGGAGTTCCTTGCTTTTGTATACAAAGCATGCTTTTTGTATACTTGAGACTGTGTATTGTTTTCATCGGTTTTGGGGTGCGGCGGTGCTGGTGGCGCAGCTTCCAGGAAGAGGTGGGGGCAGGTGGCAGGTGTTTCGGGACAGGAAAGCCATCTGATGGGCTCCCCTTCTGAGCTGCGTTGTCCTGGAGCCTGTCAATGGGCAAAGCCACTTTGTTATGCTTAAACTTCCAGGCCCTGAAATTTTGAGCTTGGAAAGTAATTTTAACAATTTAATAAACTACATAATATGTCTTATAAGCTGGAGCGAATGATCTTAAGTATTTTGGTCTCTTTCATAACACAATGGACCTAATATTGGTAAAAATACAGATCTTCACTCACGACATAAAGAGTGGCTAGATTTAATAAGCAGTTATGAGTGCTGGCAGCTGCCTATCAGATTGTATAACTTGGGCTCCAGCACGCAGAGACAGTGTCAACTTACATTTTATCTCCGAAGTCTTTTCGAGGTGTTTATTTTGCCTTTCTCTCCAGTCCCTAACCTAATAGAGGTAATGTAATTGGCTGAATATTTTCCACACAGCTAATTGGCTAGGGGCCAAGGTGGAAACCATTGTCTGGCCTGATGAAGATCAGAAATTAACATGACATTTACGTGGAGGTAATGGAATATATTAGTAATGTAGTCATTCAGGATGGCGAGAGCGAGAGTGTCCATCCTTTTCCTTCCCAGAAGCAGCATGAGGAGTTCTGAGGTGATGAAGGACCTCCAGACCCCATCACACCCCCATCTCTCAGTACTTCACGGCAGTGGCCAGCCAATACCTGTGTCAAATTTACTTTCCAATCCTTTAGACAGAACCGTAAGACAAACTAATGAATTATTCCATTTGTTAATTAAAACAAAACCCACTACTATTGTAAGATTAAATTCCAATTAGAAAGTTGCATTTAATTCAGAAGCTAGAACATTGTTT